ACAGATTTAGCTGCCTGCCTGCTAAACCTCAAGGCATATGTTGTGGTTGTTATGTGCTGTCAAGTCGCCTCCAACTCATGGTGATCCTACGACTGAGTAATCTCCAAAGTGTCCTGTCCTCAACAGCCCTGCTCAGCTCTTGCAAACTCAACCCTGTGGCTTCCTTTAGCGAGACCGTCCATCTCATATTTGGTTTTCCTCCTTTCCTGCTGCCTTCTATCTTTCCCAGCATTTCCCAGTAGAAGGGAAAGTAACCACATTTGCATTACGAACCTGCAGAGGGCAGTAATGCAATTAGATCTGTTTTGGAATGGGAATATAAGTCTTTCTGTTGTCATCTGGGAAGGAAAACAGCCTTTGGTGATGGGATTCCTTCCTGGTCTCTCCTAAGAATGTTTATCCATATTTTCAGCAGAAAAGTGCACCTAAACCAAGATCACAATGTGCTCACCCTTTGGTTTATTATATAAAAGATAGAACGCAAAGAGAAAAGGGAAGAAGGGGGGAAAAATAACCCAAACAAATGGTTGTTGTGGGTTATTCGGGCTTCTTGGCCGTGTTCTGAAGGTGGTTTTTCCTAACGTTTCACCAGTCTCTGTGGCCGACATCTTCAGAGGACAGCAACCTGTGCTCTGGTGTAGTTGACATGGGAGTGCAGTATTTATGGCTGTGAGATAGATTTTTGTCTTTTTCCTGTAGATGGGTGATTAGTGTGTGTTGTTGTGGGTGTATTGTTGTGCTAAGGGGAAGAGATTATCTGTCACTGTGATTGATGGGTGTCATTAGCTGGTCTTTTGTGTGTAGTGATCCCCTGTCCTTGTGGGTGGGTAGAGTTCGTTGACCTTTTGCACCTAGTATGTTTGATAGCTGGGAGCCAAACAAACTCAAGAATGCGGCCTCCAAGTGGGTCTTTGCCCCACGGCCCTTCAGTTCTGGGGTCCCAAGGCAATTCCTTGGTGTGACTATGAGAAACAGTGGACCTTGTGTGAGTCCAGTTTCTAGACCACATCGAGAACAGGGTGGGTCTGCGCAGGAGGCCCAGGCCACTGCCCCGGAGGAAAGAGGCCCACCTGTGTTGGCAGAAAGAGCTGTGTCTGCTCCACGGCGTCTGCAAAAATGAGCCTATTACCTAAAGAAGCCCTAGGCAGGAGCCAGTGATCAACCCAGATTCAAATGCCAACCAGGTCAGCTTTTGTATTGGCACCAGAGAAGGGGTCGTCCCTTTGAGCTGCCCAAATGTTTTGGGGTGGCCCTGAGCTGAGAGGGCACCACTGGCTTCTGCCAGGATTTCCTCGTGATCACGGCTTGGATACATTTCCTCTTTTGGACTTACAGTCGTACCCCGCTGGATGATTACCCTGCTCTATGACAAATCCGCTTAACGTTGAAGTTTTTGCGATCGCACGATGTTTAGATGGGGTTATTCGCTTAGCGATGATCAGTTCCCTGCTTCAGGAACCGATTTTTCGCTTTACGACGGTCAGCAAACAGCTGATTGTCGGGTTTCAAAATGGCCACCGGCTGAAGAAAATGGCTCCCCGCTGTGTTAGGGACGGATTCCTCGAATTACAGGCATCAAAAAATGGCCGCTGTATGGAGGATCTTTGCTGGACGAGCAGGTATTCAGCCCATTGGAACGCATTGAACGGTTTTCAATGCATTTCAATGGGTTTTTTATTTCGTTTGACGACTATTTCGCTCTACAGCGATTTCGCTGGAACAAATTAATGTCGTCAAGCGAGGCACCACTGTAACAGCTTCCACCCACCTTCCTCAGCCAGAGTACTTCTGCGCTCTGAAGAAGTTTCTATGATATTGCCAAGCCCCCCCCCTCCCCATAATCACTGCAGGAACCCTGGCTACCTCCCATGGCAGCAAACCCCTTGTGTTTTGTTTCTGCTGTTCTCCATGCAAGCGGGAGGAACTGGGCAGCATCCACCAGCCAGCAACTCAGAGCCGACAAACCGAACTTCCCAGGGTTTATGCCCAGAGGTGTATTTTAGCACCTTTTGAGTGGTTGGCTTCGGGAGTAAGAAGAGAAAGGGTCTGTTTAAGTTCACAATTGTATCCACTTCACTTCTTATTTAGAAAGTTATGATTAGAAAAGAGAAAAAGCAACTCATGCCAAAACAGAGAGAGAGATTTGCAAACGAATCTCTGCAGCCTGCATGAAAGTCAATGTCTATAGTAGGAAATCAAGGACAGCACCTTGAACTAAAAACCGATGAAGTATGTGTTTCATGAGAACATCCGGATGTTTAATATTACACGATGAATGAGAGTTACCAAAAGGTTTTAAAAAAAGAGAAAGAAAGCTGAAAACTTATAATATATTTAAGAAGCGTAAAAATATCTGTGGTCAAATGTTTCAGTTTCAGTTGTGTCTCATGCAGAAACAGAAAATATAGCCTAAGAGCAGTGTGAAGAATCGTACGTCTTGCATTCATTCCAGTAGAGCTCACTGCAATATACAGTGGTGCCTCACTAAACGATGTTAATC